TGGGGACAACCCCAATACTTGAAATGGCGCGCGCTTACGGTCTCCGTCCCCGATTATGGCTCCTGCTGATACCAAATTTGGACGCATACAGTTCAAAAACGGGAAGATATCGTGACGTCACCTCATAAGCTGCCTCCCTCATAAACTGCTTTGATCTTGCCGTCCACATAACAGGCACACTTAAAACCCATAATATGTCTTTCACACCCCAGTTGACGTCTCCAGTCTCCTGCCGAATGACCTTGAGTGCTTCGTTTCTAAGAAACTTGATGCAATGCGCAAATACTGGAATGGCTCTTACTGCTTTCCCGTTAGATGCTTTGAGGAGGGTGCTCTTTAATTCCAAGACCTAATAAACATAAGGATAAAGCTAAGATAGTGAGAACTAGACGCTGGACGCAAGCGCAGTATATGTATAAGGTTTGACCGAATCCGTCTGTTTAGCGAGATACAGAAAGAAAATAGATCTCCGTTTCATAATAATAATAATAATGATAATGATAACGATAACGGCAACGACAATGACAACGATAATGACATTGATAATGATAATAATACATTCTTACTTAGGGCCTTACCTGATCATTATACAAAGCCATCTTGAAAAGTTCAAAAAACAAGAATTCATCCTGTGCTTCGTAGACGCTCCTCAGGTATGCATACTTTTCTACCGCCTTATATCCAAACGAGTCGAATAACCGGTCTGGTTTAAGTAACAGGCATGTGGGTGTCTTGCTTGTTCGATGGCCTTGTTCATTTACCCAGTCTTTATTCATGAAAATCATAGAGTTTTCACCTTGTTCCTTGTTGAGTGAGAAAGCAAAGCCGCTGTATGTTGTTCCCAGATCGATTGCAACAGTAGCGAGGAAACTTTTCTCTCTGCCGAAAAGTAAGTCTCTGAGACCTATGTAAAGCAAAACAAATGGAGTGACAATGGAACAATAAAAAGGGTAAACAAAATGGTCAAAAGAAGAGAACAGAAACGTAAAGGGAAGAAAATAAAAAATCACACTCACACGAGCTATATTTCTGTGCATTTTTAAGGAGGTATTCTGGCGTGACTAGTCTGATTTCGTGAAAGCAGTGACTCTTGATTACTTATATTAAAATTAAAAAAAACAAACAAACAAATAAGTAAATAAAAGTGAGCTCTAGCGCACAAAACGATAGCATATTTAGTGAAAACTGCCCCGTCTAGAGGCATAATTGCAATTACTGGCGGGATAAGAGAAAAGCAACTAAACAAAATGGCGTAGCGTTTGAACGCAACACGCGACAGGCGTTGATGATGAAACTTGTTCTTTCAGAATGCGTCCATGTTTTCAAACTTTCTCAAAAATACAGATCACAAGCTTATAATGCAACTCCTTGGACGTTAAGCTTGACCATCACAATGTGGAAAATTTGAAGGGCATTTGTACAATCGTCCTCGACTTCCGCAGGTAAAAAAATTATATACGTGGCGTAAAATAAGAAAACAATCTAGACCATGCCAGACTGCGCAACGGTACTCCGAGCAAACTACTAGTGCTTGTAAACTGAGCATGCGATTCTATTCAATATTACCTGTTAATATGAATGCCATGTTAGGGATAACTTCCTCAATACCTCAGACCAAGCGAATAGCAAAGTAAAATGATAAGAGAATCGTCTTCTGGCGTTGTCAGTTCCTGGAAACACAATGAGCAAGGATTTTGTAACAACAGCAATGCGGTAATCTGCCGGTAAGTGTAACACAACTACTTTCAGCTACTGTTCACGACGGACTCTTTCTCTTTTCTGTTGTGATAACCTGGCAGGTGATCAGAGGCTATCTAGTTCTACATAAATTGCTAGTGGTTTGAAATGAAACATCGTTTTTCAATGTTATTAACTTTAGTGAGCTGCGATCGTTTTCGCAAAGTGTGACAGTTTCCGGTTTTCAGCGAAAAACAAAACCGGAAGTGCGCTCACTGTAACAAGTGCGATTATATTGAAGTCCAGTCTTTCACTTTTCAATGAAACTGAGACGATTCATACTAGTTATGTAATTCAGAAGAGTCGGTAATCTGAATTTAAATAATTTTTTTATTTTGCACGCTTGCTGGGAGAATATTGGCCTTGGATTCAACTGTAAAGTGTATAATAATTTAAAAATGTATGTACAGCCCTCTTGCCTGGGGTTATTCTTGTCCCTAGTGCTACACCTTTCAAGATGTCGTCACGGCGAGAATGACCTGGGGCGTGAAGAGACTGGAATGACTGCAGTGGTGGATCCAGACCTTGTGCTAAGGGGCCGGAGGCGGCTTTTCTTCCTTTCTGAAAAACTGCAAAGGCCTCAAAATCTCGCAGCTCGCACCCTAATGTCTGCGAGCTATGATAGTAATTTGGATGATTTGTTCCGGGCACTAGGGTGGCGAAGACCTTACTATCAAAGATTGGAACAGAAGTCTATCCTGATGTATGAAACATTGCATGGTATGACCTCTGATTGTCTGAGATCAAGCTAAGATTCGTATATCGTGGCAACGTAAGTTCTTATCGTTTAAGGAATACCGGAAACAAATTGTTTCTTCCACAACTTCGAACTGATTATCTTAAGAGAAGTTTTTCGTGCAGCGGAGCTCATGCAGTTGTGGAACGACTTAGCTATAGACCTGAGACAAGCATCTTCACTGACCGATTTCAACTCTAAATTAAGTCGCCACAGTTTAAAGTGATATCTTAATTTTAAGTAAATTTTTAGACACGGCCTCCATGAAAAGCAGTTTTTTCTTTTCTTTTTTTCTTTTTTTTTTTTTTTTTGGAATTTAAATCGTTGTTATTAATTTTTATAATAGTTAGGCAGATAGGTCGATAGTCCAGTAACTTTGTTGACTGATGGAAAAAATCGTGTATAAATAAAGTTATCTTATCTAATCTTATCTTATCCTATTTTCTGCGATTTTCTTTCTTTTTTACCCAAAATAAGGGGGGCTGGGGCCCCGGGCCCGTCCCCTAGATCCGCCACTGAACTGTTAGTATAATACAACGCGCAACAAAGTCAGAGGGGTTGCAGAGGCTGTCAGAGATTAATACACTTGCAATTTAAAGAAAATAAGATGAAAACTTGAAATGCACCATAACCTAATGATGACACCAATAAACAATTTTTTTTTTTTAACATTTTATTTAGCAAAAAAAGATAAATACAGCAACAATTTATTACACCTTCCTAGTATGCATGGGTCAATGTGTTTGTTTCAGGTTTTTGGTGGATTTACATGTAGCAGAGGGGTTGGCCACCCAATCTATTCTTTTCCCCTCCCCTCCCCTAATCCACCCCTGGGTACAGACATCTATCTAACATGTATAAAATTTGTGAACAAGGGCCAAGAATCCTTTCCCCCACTCTTTTTCAAGTAAAACAGTGCACATTTTAGTTTCATTCTGCCCTTTTGGGATTCCGTCACTGAATTTGTGCTGTGATTGATCTGATTCTTGACAATGAGTAGATTTCTCAGTTATCTTTCACAGGGGCTGTCACATCGACAGGTTATTGTCTGCACCCACACGCATGGTAATTGTGCTTCCTCCATCAAATAATTTTGATCAAAAAATGAAAGTGAAGAACTACAGTGTACCCATAGTCTTAAGCTGATTTGTCCATATTCAACACATTTATGTTTGCTGTCACAAATTCTTTATCTACACTCTCCTCCCCACTCCCTCCAGGCATTCTTCTTGATTCAAATTTATGTTGGTAACATACACATATGTGGACAACAAAAGTTCCCACTTTCATTAGAATGAACAGACTAAAATTAATATTAGGACGTAATGGATGCTGAACAATATAAGAGACTTGCTGAGAAAAAGAGATCCTTGTTTGAAAAATTATGTACTGAAGGTACTGAGACTCCTGAAGACAGAAAGATTTAACACTGACAGAAAAACCTGACTTTGTATCTCTGTCATCATATACAAGAGCTTGGGAATGAGAGATAATTTAGAAGATCAAAGCCGGGCTTGAAAACAACTTGAATTCCAGCTTGCCCTTAGGACAAGCACACTCTCAAATTTTGCTTGGGAAACAACCTCAAGAATTTCTTTACTCTCCTCGTCAATCCCTTCTACTCTCTCTGATATGTTAACTTTTACTAACAGCATTATTAAGCAATGTTAACTAGAAAACATAACCAACAGCATGGCTAACTTATTTTAAGATTACTGCTCTATTAAAAAGATAATAATTGACTGAGATTATAAGGGCATAACTGTTAGTTGATATTGACAAGCGTGAGTAACAGACCAGACAGCAAGATCATAACACTGATTGCAAATGCTGAACCTTTGTTGTCTTCATTCCCAACAAGAAGATCTTTCATGTTGCAATCATCTTCATGGCAGCACATTGCTCTGCAGTCAACTTCATATCCCTGTTCCTTTCGAGAAATACATTCATTAATCTCCCCTTTGCTGTAATCTTCACAAAAGCTTTTCTGCACACATCCTTTTTGAAATACATGGATCTTCTCAGCTCCTTTTTCATACTTGACATTTGCTTGAAAACAAGCATGATCATTGACACTGGAGCAGTTCACCACTGTTGTTTTATTTTGGCAATCATCATAAGAAACTAAACTCTGGCACTCTGAACACTGTAGCTGTGCACCTGTATAAACAGCAAAACAACTTAAAATCATTATCAGATAATTAGCATTCTGTTCTGTTTGTTGGGGTTTGTCCTTGTGTACCATGGCCAGTACAAAAGAATTGATACAAAAGACGCAACACATACAACAGCTAAACCAAGGCTCATATAGAAAGGCAGTTAATGGTTATTCCCTCAGTGTATATATGTACTGGTACACCAGGAAACAATGGGTTGTTGCTACATTTTAGGGATCATGTGTACTAATTATAAAGGCATCTGCGGTCGACTGTTGATCGATACCCCAGCTTAATTGACACTCAATCGACATCCTGATCAATTGATACTCTGTCGACATTCAATCAACACTTAGTCCATAGTTGGTCATTAGTCCACTGAGTGTCGACCAACTCATATGCATCAATCGATATTTGCTAACTCTTGACGCACTGTTAACCAAGGTGTTGATCATCAGTGTCTTGACTCTCAACCGACTGTCGACCAAGATGTAGATCGGGTGTCAATTGAATGTCAACCGAGGTGTCAATCAACTATTGATCAAGTGTCGACCCAGGGTCAATCAAGGGCCGATCTAGGGTATCAATCAAGAGAATTGATCAACACCCAACCACGGGTGTCTTTAGTAGACATGATCCAATTTTTGCTCATCGATGATCCTATAGCATGAAGTTATAACTACAATGTATTTGTTACTCTAGTTATTTCTTCTTCTAAGTTCTAACTAGTTGAATTCATGATGAAAACAAAAGCCCTCCATATAACACTAAATAGTTCGTGAAATCAGTAAATAGTAAATATAGCTAATTAAAAGTTTGCATTTTTTTTTTCGCCCAATTATTCAATAGTGCGCACATAAATTACAATGTAAATCAAGTATTTTTGTTGTTGTAGGGTATTCAATATCTGAAATCTCTGAGATCTTGAAATTTCTTCACAGATACATTTTGGAATTTGTAGAATACAGATTTGCACTGAAAAACAGTCATTGCGAACCGTAAATTGACTAGATGTCAACATCTGTAACAGCAGTACTCGCTTCATTCTACATGTAATATTTGCTCCCACTGTGAATTGCCATGCAGTTGAGGGAACATTGCAGATTGACCTCACATATATATTGCATAATTCCCTTGAGACTACACATTTACGAGGAAATAAGATATCTGCTTTAGCCTATTACAAAGTTGAAAAAGTCAAGCCAAGAGCAACGATCTTCAAGATTACTGCTCTATTAAAAAGATAAATATATAATAATTGATTGAGATTATAAGGGCGTGACTGTTAGTCGATATTGGCAAGCGTGAGTAACAGACCAGACAGCAAGATCATAACACTGATTGCAAATGCTGAACCTTTGTTGTCAACAAGAAGATCTTTCATGTTGCATTCATCTTCATGGCAGCACATTGCTCTGCAGTCAACTTCATATCCCTGTTCCTTTCGAGTAATACATTCATTAATCTTCCCTTTGCTGTAATCTTCACAAAAGCTTTTCTGCACACATCCTTTTTGAAATTTATGGATCTTCTCAGCTCCTTTTTCATACTTGACATTTGCTTGAAAACAAGCATGATCATTGACACTGGAGCAGTTCACCACTATTGTTTTATTTTGGCAATCGTCATAAGAAACTAAACTCTGGCACTCTGAACACTGTATCTGTGCACCTGTTACAGAAAAACCACTTAAAATCATTAATCAGATAATTAGCATTCTGTTCTGTTTGTTAATTGAGTCTGTCCTCGTGTACCAGTACAAAAGAACTGATACAAAAGACCCAACAACATACAACAGCTAAACCAAAGCTCATATAGAAAGGCAGTTAATGGTTATTCCCTCAGTGTACTGGTACAACGGGAAACAATGGTTTGTTGCTGCATTTTAGGGATTATGCTAGTGTACTTATCATAAATTATGCATTTGCAGTTGAGTGTTGATCGATACCCCAGCTCGATTGACACTCGATCAACATCCCAATCAATTGATACTCCGTCGACATTCGATCAACACTTAGTCAATAGTCGGTCAATAGTCCACCAAGTGTCGACCAACTCATGTGCATCAATCGAAGATTAGTCAAGTCTCTAATGACGCACTGTTGACCAAGATGTTGATCGAGAGTCTTGACTCTCAACTGACTGTGACGACCAATATGTTGATCGAGTGTCAATTGAAAAATTATGTCAACTGAGGTTTCAATTGAGTATCGATCGAGTGTCGACCGAGGGTCAACAAGGGTCGATCTAGGGTTTCAATCGAGAGTATTGATCAACACTCCACCGCAGGTGCCTTTAGTACGCATAATCAATTTTTGCTCATCGATGATTCTACAGCATGAAGTTATAGCTAGAAGATATTTGTTACATTGTGTCTAGATACCCGGCAGCCGGGAAGTGTTTTTAAAATACTATATACTCGGCAGTCTGAATTTATTCTAGAATTTCCACGGAAAAACCCGTCCAATCCTTCTTCAAACTGTAGATCTTTGTTTAGATTAATGTCAAGCGATTTCAATAATAATTTTGGCTTTGTGGTTGAGGAAATTTTCGAGCTTGGGCATACTAGCTGCGTCGTTTTATACGTTTGCCGTTTAGCTTACCGAATAAATAACTTTAGAGAACTGAGAACTTCGCTTCGCTTCCAACGCCAATCTCCTTTAGGTGCGAAAACCAACACCATGTGCAACCTTTGTCACGCAACTGAAGTGTTACACCGGAAGTTAAGATCCATATTTCCCTTTGGCGGACAACGTTCAAGCGTTTTGTAGCTTTTTGTACTACCTTGCCGAGGCAATTGTTGAGGCCTGAAGTTCGAAAATCGCTTGGTATTTCTACACCGACATCTCAGCAGATTCAAATGGAAATTTTGGTGGAAAAACGGGAAGAATTTCTGACGACTGGGTATGTAGTTTTTGAAAATCGTGCCTGTAAGTCACACAAAGTTCGTACAATTTGTGCAAAACCAAAACATTGTAAAAACTCGCTTGGTATTTCCGACCAAAGATCGAAATGCTGAAATACTCTCGGGAGGTTTCAATGATCATTTTTGTGGATATCGATTGTATTGATTATTCACGAATTTTTTACTGCCGGGTATCTAGTTTTTTGACCAACCGTGCCCGTGAGTCGAGGTTTTTATAGTATGCCGAAGCTAAGAGAATTCGTCCACAACAAAAGCAAAACATTCTTTAGAATCGCTTCGCATTTCTGAACAAATATCGAATACTCTCACGGGGTTTCAACTTCAATTCTTGTAGAAATTTAGTCTATGAGATCGAGTTGACACCGGAGTCAGCTCAGAGTCTATTAGTACCCTAATAGACTTTCTAGTGTGCCCAAGCTCGAAAATTTCTTTAACCACAGAGCCAAAATAATAATTGAAATCGCTTGACATTTCTAAACAAAGATCTCAGCAGTTTTAAGAAGGATTGGATGAGTTTTTCCGACTTACGGGTATGTAGTATTTAAAAAAAACTTCCCGGCTGCCGGGTATCTAGACACAATGTATTTGTTACTCTAGCTATTTCTTCTTCTAAGTTCTGACTAGTTGATAGTACGTGAAATCAGTAAACAGTGATTAGCTAGTTTGCATTTTAGGGCCAATTATTCAATAGCAAGAACATATGCAATGTAAATCAAGCATGTTCATTGTTTTAGGGTATTCAATATCTGAAATCTCTGAGATCTAATGTACTTTCTTCAAAGAAATATTTAGGAATTTTTAGAATACGGATTAGACCGTAAATTGACTAGATGTCAACATGTGTAACAGCAGTGCTCGCTTCTTTCTAAATATTTGCTCCTACTGTGAATTGTCACGCAGTTGAGGGAACATGGCAGATTCACCTCACGTTAAAAAAACTTCTATGCGTAAAATCCCTTGAGACTACACATTTACGAGGAAAAGAGATCTCAGCTTTAGCCTATTACAAAGTTGCAAAAGTCAAGGCGAGAGGAACGAGGAAAAATAAGCTTAATTAAGACTTATGAAGCTGCTACATATTGAAACAAATATTAGTTTACCACTGACATATATTTCAAGTACAAGTATCAAATCTTAACTTACCGCTCGTCCGAAGTAAACAGAACAACGAAAATGCCACAAACAAAGCGACCTTCATGTTTTCTTTTCTGTGTACGTAAAACAAGACACTTCAAATGTCTTCAGTAAGTAAGCGTTGCTTCGCACACCTCGGTCAATACCGAATATTAATGAAAAATTTTCCTCGCAGGCGTTGGATTAGTGCAAAGCTTCAAGAGGGCGAGGGGTGGGTGGATAAATTAAACACCTCCGTGTTTCTTTTCACGTTTGTTTTATCTGTTTGTTTGTGTTTTTCTTTCAATCAGATAGCCTTCCTGTATCGATAGAACCTATCCAAATAAGGACAGATGTGGTTTCGCTCGCATGCTTTAAATCTGTGATTCCCACTCCTCCCTCTACCCCCACCCTGAAAGGGAAAACACAAACTGACGTCATCTACGGTGAAACGTGCTTCTTCAGCAGTTCTCCACGGTTACTTGAAATATTTTTTCCTGTTTCGTTGGACCACGCGATGCATGAAATGAGAGGCCTTCTGCCAATACTAACCAAGGCGAAAATTTTATAAGTGATTTATTTTACCTTTTAAATTATAAAGACCGTCTCAGGACCTCGGAGGGTCGCGCAATTCGTTGTGGTGAAATATTGCGTGACGGGTCAAATGATCGCATGGGCGGAGCCTGCAGTTTATCAAATCGAGGAGCCTGTAGCCCTTCTAGGGACCAAAAACGTGATGATTGAACAATATAAGAAAATGCTGTAAGTTGCTTTTTGCGCACAGAGCAGAGAGGGGCTGGATTTTCCATTTCAGAACCCTTGGTAAGGGGGGAGGGGAGTGGGTTATTCAATTTTCAGCTACCCATGCAGGGTGGGTTATCCAGTTTTATAAAAGGAATTGGCACACATTTGACGCAACTGACAACAGAGGTAACATCTTCCATTTCCAAAGGACAAACCTTTTTTGTGGCTGGCGTACAACAGAGATGGCAATGAAAGCTAAGAAGTCTAGTGGAATGAGCAAGGAGTCCCAAGGCAGAAATTTTCAAAATTCTGCAATCTTTTGACGTGCTGGACTTCAACAACACCAAATGGCCAACTTGTGTCTACATGCTATTTGTCTTCAAGGGTAAAGGACACATGTTAATGGATCTGGAACACACTACGGCCTTTTTTCAGATGGATCACTGTTCCATACATGGTGATGCTGGAGGCCAAGTTGAAAGGTTTATGGTCAAGTTTTTATTCCAGGGGTTTTATAATCGACATGACTTAAAGTTGCAAGAGTAAAAGAAAATAATATTACTTTTAGATGAATTGTTTTTAAGAAATAAATCCAAAACAAATAATACCACAATTTCATATACTGAATGTGATCTTGTTGGATTATACATCCAAAAATGTCATGTTTTATAAGGGGTGGGTCATGTAATTTTCAACCTTTGTTTCGGGGTGGTTCACTTAGTGTTGTGCCAAATGGAAGGGGTTGGTCATGTGTTTTCTATCCACCACATGTTCAAATGCTCACACAGCCCACCCCCTCCTATACTTTTTGACCAGTCCCTATAAAGAAAATAATTTACTAGTCCACAGTATCCTTGAGTCTTGACAAAGGGAGGGGGGGCACTGAAGGGCTAAACTGGGGACTAGGAATTACCTTTTTTCCACTGGGAATATCCGATTTGGGTCCCTGGGACTGGAAATGGTCTAAGAGTTGGGTATGTATTCTTGTCTGATTTCTTGGAAGTGCTGGTTGTTGATTCTGCAAATCGCCACAACCCCAACAGATAATTCTCCAAAGCTTTACTTTCAAGCAAAAAAGGTTGTTGAGATTTTGTCAAGGAGCCACAATATTTGTGATAACATTCATATAGTGTTATGTTTACTGGCAAAATCAAACTTGAAAAATAATTAGTAAATAATTAAACAATTATTTAATAAATTGATTTGGATGAGTAACCTGGAGGGCTTGGCTAGAGTACAGCCTTGAGTCTGAACAGTGTGACATGGAATGAAATTTGCCATGCATGGAAAAACCTTAAATGTTGATTTACTTTTCAATTTCTATGAATATGGTCACAATGTTTGCCACAGCCACTAAAAGTATCCCTTAATTAGCATAAAACACAAAATTTGAAGCAGTATCTTTTTTTTTTTTCATTATTGTTTATACATCTACCCATTTAAATGAGTGCCAAAAGACTTTCCTATTGTTCAACATTTGACATCAAATTGCTGATAGGCCACTCAGTGTCTTATCATTGTACTTCATGGCCAATACCTTGAGGATCTGGTCTACAATTTTGATAAAGGACACTTAATGATTTTACACACACTAAAAAAAATCAGTTTAAGATTGTGGGATGATGTACAATTACTCAGGAGTGTAAAATTATCCTGAAGACTATTTTACAAACTTTGCTCAAAAACATGCTATATGCTATTATCAAGTGCTACATATAAGGATAATAATATAGTACCACATAAGAACCGAATCAAAACATGTACATGTACATACCAGTGGCAGATCCAGACCTTGAGCTACGGTGGTGGGGGCATTGCTTGCCCTCCTGGCTTTTCTTCCTTCTGAATTTTTTTTTTTTTTTACCCAAAATAAGGGGNGGGGGGGGGGGGGGGGGGGGGGCACCTGGGCCCAGGCACCCATGCATGTTTAAAGAAAAAGGGGAAAATATGCAGATTCCAGTAAAATATCTATATTCATTCAAATTCTGATGGTTTCAAACTTTAAGAAGGGAAGTATTTAAACTAAAATCTCCAGAGGGTTAAAGGTGGAGGACGGGGCAAAGGGGGCGGGGGGGCACAGTGGGGTAGTTTCAAAACAAAAGCCCAAAGGGCAGGGATATGGATATTTTCTGTTAATATTTAACCACTGATTACTTTGTTTGCCTTGTTTACGTATTGAACTCGCACTCCATGGTTAGTAAATATTGACAAGCGCCAAAAATAGACTGGGCAGCAGTATAACAACACTTGTTAAAAAGGTGAAGCCTTTGCTCTCAATGATGAGATTTTCCTTGTTACATCCATCTTCATGACAGCACTCTGATATACACTCCACGGTGAATCCCAAGGCCTTTAGATCATTACAATATCCAATGTCTCCTTTCTTGTATCTTTCACAAAAAGATTTATCCAGACATCCGCTATCAAAGTCCTCTCCCTTGTAAGAGCCATTATCATACTTGACAGATGTTTCAAAACATGCATTAGAGGCATCAGAACAGTTGACCAATGTTTGCTGACTTTGGCAATCTTCAAAAGATTTGGATTCAGGGCAGTCATAGCACTGACGAAAATGACCTGCCAAGACAGCATCTAGATCATTAAGTAGTTCATCTCAGGGTTGACAAGTTGTTTTTATTCCATTAGAAAAGCACCCACTTATATTTCTTAAGTTACCATGATTTGATCAGTGCTATTATGTTAACTGCTGAACACAACCATCACACCTCTAACTGGTGATACACACCTCTAACTAATGAATAGTGATACAATTAATTCTCAAAAATCTATGTGCAATTAACACAGCTAGATGTCTGCGTGGATAAATCCTCTCCAAGCGACCATGTAATTTTTGTTTTCGTATATAAAATTATCACAATACATAACGGCATTTTTGGCATTTTTCCAAAAATTTCTGACCTTCTGAAGATTTCCAAAGGTTGCCCAAAATTTTTCCGAAGGCCAGACGAATGTTTCTGAAGATTTCCAAAGATATAACCAATGATTGCCAAAGACTTCCAAAGAAGATCCAAAGATGTTTTGATCATACACCAACAAATTTAAGTATAGTTAAAAGGACAAAATGATATTTAAAATGATATCACACATGCGTGGATAAAAATGATATCTTTAGTGTGATATCGTTTTAATCAATTTGCTACCAATCATTATACCACTAACTTTTACATAATAAAATCAACTGCATATAGAGGTTTTGCACGGCAGCCATGTTGCATGCAGGCATGCAGGAACAATGAAAATGAAAATGAATTAGAAAGAACATTTTTTTCCCATAGGAAAATGAATCTATTGTTCCTCCCATGCAACATGGTTGCTGTGCAAAACCTCTATTACTTGGTTTGCTTATTTCTTGGCTACACTGTAGGGGCCTCTGGATCCGGGCTTTTTTCTCCTTCGTGGTATTACAAATTATTGACAAAAAGTCTTAGAGTCCCTTAATTTTCAGCGATCCTTTAATTTTCTGAGGTTTACAAGTACACAAAATTTTTTGGAACTTTATGATATTGTTTGGCTGTCAGTTTTGACTTTAGAAAATCAATGCTTTGACTTTAATACAGGGTTAGCGTTAACCGGCTTTCGAACAACCCGGCCCTGATGATTTGTCAGTGTATCAAAAAAAAAAAAAAAAAATGTTTGGTGAACAATCATATCAGGCTATCAGTAACCCAATCAAAAATCTGAGTTCATTCAGACATTTCTGGAGCTTTAAGGAGGAACTACATTTCCCTTCCCAATTTGGAAACAGCTATTTATGTTTCACGGGTTATGCTTAATGGCTTAATAGTAGCAATAATACTGGTTTTGGTCACAGGGCTACTCTCTGATCATACTGGCAGGATACTTGGGTAAAAAACTTAACTGGATTTAGGATATTTATGGGGGGAATTAAGGTGATTCCTTAGTATGGCATTGCGCATCCCTACTGCACATGATTTTCGTGTCATTAGTGCGCGCACTTGAGCATGTGCGCGTACAAAACGTATTGAGAGATTTCCCTTAACTCATCTTGATAGCGAAATAAATGCTCATTTCCTCTTAAATGAGCATGGTGACCCCCACATTTAATTTCATAATTTCAGTGAGAACAATATCCTCAATAACTGAAAAAAAACTTAGCAGAAATCTATGGCAACTTGTTTGGCAAATGAAATAAATACAACAGAGGGAGACATAACGGGCCCAACAGCATATGTCTAAATTATGTTAAAAAATGCAGGGTATTTGAAGACATATTTCTGGGACGTAGATGAATAAACAATCAAAGAATGTCAAACTCTGTGTGATATAACACGCTGCATTGAAAAATAATCAAGCTTATTTGTTGCACACGGAGATTACCAAAAGTCACCTAAATAACTATTTGTCAGCATTGTGGCGTGAAAACAAGCATGGTAACCCCCTCTTTTTACTACGTTTTTAATATCTCCTTGCCCTGTAACAACAGCATACCAAGTTTCATC